CCAAGTGTGAATGATCTTGTTAATTAATAAAGCTCTGTTAGAGAAGATAACAATTTACCGCAATTCAAATTCAATGTGTTTAGCTCATTAAATAATTATTTCGTTTTTAGTTTTTACTTTTGTTTTAGTGTAATAAAGAAAAATGTAAGGAAAATGAGAGTCGAAGAAGAGTGGATGAATGATATTACAAAAAAGACAAAAGCAAAACTAAAAAGATGAAAACTAAACCAACAGCAAAAAATTGTTTTAAGTTGTTTTCACTTTCAATTAGTTTTTCTTTTGTTGTACTAAAAAAAATAGTTTTTGTTTTGTTCACTCTTCTTTCTTTTCCTATCTCCCATCACCTTTCTTCATCCCTTCCCCCTCTATATATTTTCCTCATATCTCATAAACAAAAAGTCAAAACAAAAAACTACAAGCAAAAAATGGTTATTAAAACGTCTCATGTTTTGTACTTGGTAGGAAATACATAATGCATGCATTTATAAATTGGACCCCTTAATTATGTTTATGTTTATGTTTGCCGATCGATACAAAAATATACATGTTAGTCCGTGTTTCAATGAAGATGAAAATCCTAGCTCGGCCCCCACCGATAGCAATACAAGTATTGATCCCCTTATAAGTGGACTAATATTATATTCCCCATTGAAAACAACTTGGTCCTAGAAGTGGTGCAATATTGGATAAGCTAACAAGTAGTAGTACGTACAAATAAACGCAAATTATGGACTGATCAATCGGGCCAATATTTAAGCAATGTCAATAATTCAGAGGCCACTAACAGCTACGATTTTGGTTCTTTAAAAGAAGGGCAGCAACGTGCATGATTTCATTTCTGTCTAGCAGGTTTGTCAGCAGGTTGGACAAATATTTGGGACCCTTGGTGTCGAATTTGCCCAGCAGAGGTGTAATCAGAAATTTCCTAAAGTCATCGATTTGTTCTACATTTCTCTAGATTGATCCGGACACTTATTACAGCAGTTTTCGATTGAATTGAAATACTGAAATTTTGGATAAAGAAATTTACACAGATTGCACAGGTGAAGTGATTAACCTTTTAGATGAAGCATGTGCATCAGATTATATTAACGTCACATTCGAAAGAAGGGACCAAGTTTTGTTTTTCTTTCTTGTTTTTTTAATTTTTTATTTTTTTAATTTTTTAGTCCGGAGGGACAAAGATTGTTAACGGAGTAAAACAGAAGGACCAAATTGGTCAAATATTTGAGCAAAGCAAAAAGATAAAATTGGTATTTAACTGAGAAGATATGTAATTCAGTAGTTAATATATATTTTCCGTGCAAAGATATATATTTAACCTTGTTTTTGGAGGCACTCAAAAGTTTCAAATTTTGTTGGTTGACAACAGGGCATAAGCCCGAAAGAAAAGGAAAAATTACATAATAATATTATGAGGCCACAAGACCTCACTTATATCTATAACTAGCAACTGACGACAAGAAAGAAGAGCTTACGAATTTCACAAGACCAACTTTGGTGCATAAGGGTACGACAATTCAGTACTAAACTTCCTAGAAGGTGATTATCCACTTTTGCATTTGAAATCAATTGTACTGCAAGCACATAAGATCTCATCTCGACCAAGATTAGAACAAAAGCCATAGAACTACCTCGACGAGTTTCTGAGGTCACCACCAGCATCGATGAAATTGGCCACCCCTTGTGACGCCCATAATATTAAGCTTTATCCAACCCTCAGGAGGAGATTCCCAATAAAGAAAACATGTGTTCGAATGGGCGTTATGGAGGAAACCATCTTCCTTTGAAGCCAATCTTTCAAGTAGGCAATAATAACAGATTTGGATCATTATAAAGAGCAAAATCCTATTCAAAAATACTTTAATTTGTTTCGCAGGGCAACAAGAACCAAAAAGTGATACAAAAAATAAGCCTCTATTCCAGATTATCCAAGACTAATGTTTTGGAAGAGAAATTATTTTGGAATCAATTAGTAGTACATGCATCAGTAAAAATTGATCAGGAAACAGGAAAACTTCTCCAAAGACGTGAAAATTGGTTCAAAAGCAACATCATATCTGCCGCCATGAAGAATCTGTAGCCAAACTCGTTGAGCATTGGTTAATAATTTGTCTAGCAACACAAAACAAAGAAAAGAGAGCACTTTAGGAGGAAGATGCAACTCCCAGATAAAGCTCCATCGTCACTTGGTATTCATATTAGCATTTAGATCTAACACATAGGCAAACTTCACAATTAAATTACTATCACTAATTGATCTCTATATACAATTGTCTGATGAGCCACCAATTTTATCCACAAGTATTATTAAAGCACTAGGCAAGTCTTTGGAGAAACTTCATATTTTTCTGCCAATGAGGTGTTGTGCCTAATGAAAAAACTTAAGAGAGTGCTTTAACGCCCACAAATATTTCTATAAGCCTAAGGCCATAATTGTATGGGAATTTTAACGAAACATTTCCGGTACTGTTCACTTTTAACGAAAATGACATTTTTACTCTAAAAAGTTACTCCTGGTACTATTCATTTACAACGCCTTTTTATCATTTTGATTAAAACTTAAAATTTTCAAGTCATTTTTATTAGTTTTCCTTAACTTTATATGTTTTGCCAACCAATCAAAGTACAGATGTTCAGCCCACCTAATATTTGTTTTAGGCTTAATTGTTTGTACGTTCCATTTTTCTCCTTGAAATTGCAACTTTGTGAGTTTATTTTTTTGTTTTCACTGATTTTGTCATGTCATCCATTTCATAAAGTTGGTCAAGAAAATGGTTAAATTAGCTGATGTGAAACTGACCAAAAAACCAATGTTTTTACTTTGACACATGAACTTATTATTCTAGGTCGGAACAAGTTGATAGGATCCTCTTTTTTACATCTTCATGTCTCCTAAGAACATATTATGTACAATATGGTGCAAAGCGAGTGACACAGCCTGACCCGGAATATCTACTAGGACTTCGAATCGAGCTGTGCTGGTCGACACCCGGAAGGTGACAAAGCCAAAAAGTGCGATGATGATAAAAAAAAATATGAATTAATTTGAATCTAAGAGTGTTTAAATACCAGAAGGCGCTATGAGCGGGAATGGGCATAGGTCGGGGTCCAAAGCGGACAATATCGTGCTACAGTGGTGGAGTGGGTCCGAGATGTGATAGTGAGTATATCTATTTTGTTTTTTTTTGTTTTTGTTTTTTTTTTGGTTTTGTTTTTTTTGTTTTTTAAGTTTTGACAAAAAAATGACATTTTTTTCAATTATTAATTTTTTTAATTTGGAGAGTAATTCGCATCATAAACTTGCAAAGATGATAGACGCAATAGATTCTACACTAAAGCACACATTTTTTTCAATTATTAATTTTTTTAATTTGGAGAGTAATTCGCATCATAAACTTGCAAAGATGATAGACGCAATAGATTCTACACTAAAGCACACATAAAATCATTCTTAAAATAAAAGATCACATCAATTCAGCGAACGAGATGAAAACCACTAATCAACTCATTTCACACTAACTACATTGTTTGTAGTCTTGTAGATAGATAATTCCCTTTATGAACTCATTTATTTAACTAAGATAATTCCCTTTCGACTCTAGCCACCCACATACATTTTATATAAAATATGATTCATTGCTCTAAATCCTTTTTATTTTTGTATATGGCTGGTTCTTCAAACAATTCCAAAAGCCAAATTTTTGTTCTGGTAATTCTGTCTCGCGTGCTTCATAGCAAGTGTTTACTTTAGAGGGTTGTTGACTTCCTCCAATAATGGTTGGTAACTTGGGTTAAGTTAAATATAGTAATAGTGCTTCCTCTTGATAAATTGGTAGTCTCGATCCTTTTAGAGAACCAGTTACATTTTCTATTTTATTATATTAGCGGCTCCAAACATCTGAATTCATTACAGTATTTGTTGTATTGTCTATGATTTTCATACAAATCATGGTATGTGAATCTTCTTTGGGTTTATCTTGGAAAGTCAATTAATTTTAAGTTTATTTATATACAACAATTAAACTTTATCCTACTAAGTACGATCAACTGTATGAATTCTAAAATGCTATTACGCTCAGTTTTACGCCAAATCTTTTGTTAGCTCAAAGTACTTCATATCTTTTATTATAGTTTATTTCAAAGTCTTCCTAGGTCTTTTTTACCCCTTTTACCCTAAGCTTCCCTTGCATAGCCGCATCTTCTAACCCAAACATATATAGGTCTTAGGTTCAGGTGTACAAATCATCTTAACCAATTTTCTCTCATTTTGTCTTCAATTACGACCACTCCTACTTTAACTCATATATCTTCGTTCTTAATCCTATCATTTCTCGTGTGCTCACACATCCAACAAAGCATCCTTATCTCCATTGCATTTTCCTTCATACTCCTAATCCAATTGTGACATCTCGTCTCGAAATTTATTGTATTTTATTCTTAGTAGTAGTGAAATTATCAGAATGCTCATGAGATGCCACGTATGCCTTCCACGCAGATCTCAACTTTCCTTTCACTTTTTTACTCTTATTTTACTATTTTTGAATAGTGCTTATTTTTACGAGCGTGTGGGCATAAGCAGAACTTAATTCAGAATTGTGACGAACCAGGTATGTTCGAAACTATGTAAAAGGGAATTGTTATTAGCATTTCAAAATCACATTTACACTCTAAACTTTTTATATTAAGAAAGAAAAAAACACTTATAAAAAATGTAGAATGAGATTTTTGAAATGCTAATAACATTTCTAATGTAAAATTACCGGGATAATTTGAAAACTTGAACTGTGGCTTGGCGCAGTAGGCTGCCCTTCTCTTATCTATCTGATGACCCTGGTGCAGACTAAATGCATGCATGGGTTTGAAAAATTCAACATCACATGGGTTGTGGACAAGTGTGTTATTAAAATAATATTTCTTCTGTTGAAAGCCCACACTTGTTCCATCACACACATGACCATAGTTTTCTTCCTTTTCGGCCGGTCTCTTATTCTCTCTCCCGTTGCTTTCTTTCTTCAAAAACCGATCCCCTATCCAAATAAACTGAGCTTTTTAAACAAAAGATTTGTGCGGTAAAATTTATTATTGGATCAAATTTTAATAGTACAAATTTTTTGCTGAATAAGTTCAGTTTATTTGGGACCGGAAGGATCGGATTCCCTCTCTCGCCTATCTCACGTCGCATCTCTCACTATGTCCCTTTTCACTTCACAACTCTCTCTCTCTCTCTCTCTCTCTCTCTCTCTCTCTACCCACTCACTCAACAATTAATTTCCACTTTCATTTCACTCATCTCTCTCAACCTCTCCCAATGCACTCCCTCATTTTTCTGAAAACCTCACTCTCTCTAAACCCGAGAGAAGAGAGCTCTCACTCTCCCACTTACCTTCACAACTAAGCCCTATTTTCTACATATTCGAAGTCTGTGGGATGCAAGGATCGTGGTCTTGCATGTGAGATCGCTGCAGTGAGGACCTCGGCACCATTGAAGTTGAGAGCTCCATAGCTCTCAAAGCTTGAACCCAGGTGAACTATGCCTTGTTCTCTAAATTTCTGGGTTTATGGATGATATTTTAACCTATGTGATGTTGAATTATAAGTTTAAATTGAGGGTTCACTCTCTATCATCATCTGTGCTTCGAACTCATCCCCGACGATGAACTCCGGCGAAATGCCGTCGAGTTCAAAGTTGGTGGGCTTTCCCAACACATCAAATCTCTCCCTCTATGTCTCTGTGATAGATTGGGAATAGTCCTGAACTCAATCTCGAGCTCTAACCCCTGCATGCATGTTTATACTTTTTTCTCCAGTTTCCGGCGAAGGACCGCGGAATTGCAGGCCATTTCCGACTAGTTCCGGCACAACTTGTGTCCCACTTAGGTATATTTTTGCTCCTTACCTCTTGAGCTTCATTTTGGCTTTTGAATCTTTGAAATTTGGTTGAAAAATGAACCCGTTATGACCATTTGAAGTTTTCCGGCCAAATCGCCAGTTTTCGGCGGTTGCAGCGGCGAACGGAAGCCCAGATCCGCGACCCGAATCCAGATCCGCGACCCGGAATCCGGCCCGGCCCGGTTCGAAAATGCATATGGAATATTTTGTGTTTGACTTTTTACAAAATTTGATCAGAATCCCTCTTAGCGTATTTTGACAATCTGATTTCAAATTCGCACTCTGTTTTCTCAAATTTGACCGTTTAAATTGAGTTTTACTAATGCGTCACAATGTTATACTTAGGTGCGATAACTATCAGAGACTCCGACTTTCTCAGCTTGAAAGGATGTGACTTCACAAGTATTTGTGAGTGGGTCTCTTTATTTTTATGTAAATATATGTATATATGGATTTTCCCGACAATTGCTTTCATTACTAAGATGTGACATGTCATATTTAGTTTTACAAATAGACTTGTTATACACTTTATGTTTTTAATATTATTTGTGAGTATAAACTTGTGGCATGATATTCTTACGTTTTATTTGCTCAAGATTACATGTTTGCACGTTGTCTCTTAGTTATTTGTACTGTCCTTAGCCAAGGACAAACTTCACGTGTAGTTCACATGCACTGTTTTCATTCACTTTGGATACAGAGTTAGATGTCAGCCTGTTCTTTTGTATGATGTGATGTTTTGGACTTGTATGTGATGTCACTAGCACAATTCACGTGATGGAGGACTAGAATGTAAACCATGCACCGTTTTCATTCACTTTGGATACAAAGTTAGATGTCAGCCTGTCCTTTTGTGTGATGTGATGCCACTAGCGCAATTCATGGAGGACTAGAATGTAAACCTACACCCAACATGTTCCATTGTTTGAATATCTTTGCAATAGATTTGTGTGCCTATATAAATTAATGAGCATTGATTTCTTATAATAATGGTTTGAGACTTAATGTTGAGATACCTTGTTTAACCCTACATATTTGACTCACTTCTATTGCAGGGTACCTATTGTATACTATTACCATAATATTTTTGGGAAACCATATACTTGTTTTACAGCGAGGGGTTACACTTTTCGAAAAGGTTTTACAAAATTTTATTTTCAGGTCCACTCATCCTTGTTTTTTGCTCATCCAGGATTTTTAATGGCAGAGATTTTGTGACGACAAAGATTGTTGGTAAAAGCTGTTATGTAGAAGACTTCTCCTTTCGGTATAAATGTCTACTTTTCTTTTAATACAATTTATCTATGCTTTGACATCATTTGTATGATATGGGTTCAATCATGCTCACATGCACTCTAAATTAGTCACTTTTCGGTTTTAATTTATTCACATTTTTCACATTACTACATTTTATGGCTTCATCACCTTTTAGGTGTCGGCCAACACATTGCAATTCGGATGTCTAGATAGACATTCAGGATCAGGATGTGTCACCAAACGCCTGCTTATTTGGCCCCTTTGTCCAGTCAAAATGTGAAAGTATCGACTATTTAATCAGGACCTGATGGTTCTTTTATTTTATTCAATCCAATTATTAAAAAAAAAAAATATGAGAAGTTAAAAGGGGGTGCGTTAGAATCACTTTCTTAAATTTGAATTAGTTAATTCTTAATGCTTGTTTAAGAAAAACCCTGGTGTCACATAAAATTTTGATTTTGATGATTCATTTTTAAGTTAAGTGTGCATAAAAAAAAAAGCAATGAACGTAGTTTGAGAAGGGGTAAAAAAACACTCCATCGGATGCAAGCATTAAGTACGAGATTTTTCCTTTCACTACAAAATTACATTTACTCCAAACTAAACAAGGTAATTAAAATTAATTAACTGATAGATATCACTCCGTCGAACATTAGGCAAAAAAAGCACACAAACACCCACAATAAAATTATAAAACGGACTTGTTCACTGGCACAATCATCTCCCACCATTAACTGGTAATACAACGTGGTTCCTCATAGTATCATACCCTAAAACTGAATCGCCACCTCCTTCATAACTAATAGTTTCCAATGATATTCCACCAAGCAAGTGCTGAGTCTCTTCTGAAATGGATTCGTCATTCACCCACGGATGCAATACCATCCTTCTCAGTCCCTCTAGCTCCATTGCAACTTCCTGCATCGTTGGTCTTTCTTCTCCTTTTACTCTCAAACACCTCTTTGCAAGTATAGAAACTTCTTTAAGCTGCTCAATGTTTGCCTCAGTCACAATCCAATCATCTAGAACTTGCAGCAAGCGGTCATCTTTCAATGCTGAAAGAAAATACATAGCCAAATTTATCTGTTCCCCCGGTTTGTCAAAGAAAACCGCCTTCTTTCTTGTCAATAGCTCTACGAGGACAACCCCGAAACTATAGACATCGCTTTTCTCAGTCAATTGGCTTGTCTGCAAGTATTCGGGGTCTAAATACCCCATAGTTCCTTGCACCATTGTGGACAACTGAACTTGGCCTAACGGAACCAATCTCGAGGCTCCGAAATCAGACACTTTGGCTGTGAGATTTTCATCTAAGAGTATGTTTGTTGACTTGACATCTCTGTGAATGATAGGAACAGAGGCCGCAGAGTGCAAGTATGACAGCACTCCAGCTGCTTCTGAAGCTATCTTTAGATGGATTTCCCAAGAGGTGTTTGGTCTGGATTCCTTGGTTGTATTATGGATGTAGTCAAAGAGTGTTCCATTTGTTACATACTCATAAACTAGCAGTGGCACTTGTGTCTCGAAACAACAACCTAAAAGCTTAACCACATTCCTATGGTTGATCTGTGAAAGCACCAGTACCTCATTTATGAATTGCTCTATTTGGCTTTGATCCACCATTTTGGATTTCTTGATAGCAATTACTCGGCCGTCTACTAAAATTCCTTTGTACACTGTACCAAAACCTCCTCTGCCAATGATTTTAGACTCATTGTAATTATTTGTGGCCTTCTCAAGTTCTTCTGCTGTGAAGATTTTGGCAGTTTCATGAGTGGACCCCTGTCGTTCTGAAAGTTGTTGTTGTAGCATTAGTCCTCCATTTTGCCTGAAGAACTTCTCCTTCAGCTTTATGAGCTTCCATCTTTTGTAGCCCAAATACAACCAAGAGCTTCCCATTAGCAACGCTATGAGGCCAACCCCGATTCCCACATTAATTTCCAACAAATTAAGTATGAATTATAACGTCTGTGTGCAAGGTGTCCATTCTTTATTAAGAAAACCAAACGCATCATCATTAACTTATTAATATATTCAACATAATGTGTTGCTACGTTTTGTTGACTGCAACAACGAAATGTAGTTTGACATAGAACGGACGTTTGTTCCGTAGCCGGATATCAACCATAATAGTCTTTCTTGTAACCAGTATATTGCAGATTGGACGTTGTTATTTGAACCACGTTTAGAAACTATCTTTAACGGTCAGTCCTAAGGTCAGGCAAGTAGGTAAAAAAAGAGAGCCCAAGTTAACTTTTTGGAGTATGATGGTTGCACTGCTATATATGTTTGACTTCAACCAATGCCATTCACTAATCACATTTCTAATGAAGTAGGAACAGTCGGAATAAATGTTGAAAAAGCAGTAAACCAGTCAACAAATATATATGTTCATACTTACCAACGATAATCTGAACAAGTAATGTTGGATTAGGGGTGCAACCTTCTCCGTCTACTTTACCCTTGCTATGGTACCCCTTGCGGCAAGAACAAGCATAGCCTCCTTCTGTATTAGTACATTTCTGTTCGCAGTTATTGAGGTTTGCATCCTCACATTCATTAATGTCTGCAAAAATAACATGACCCATAATTTTCAGAAAGCAAGTTGTATTAATTAGTAGTAGTACTAAAGTTTTGAAAGCAAATGACATTACAAAGATTGAAAGATACACAAAAAACAAGCTTAAGCTATGAAAATTACCACACTGGTGCCCGCTGAGCTCTTTGAAGATTTTCTGCTGTTTTGCAGGTTCATCAGACTCGTGGTAGTCATGAAATTTTTAAGGTGTTAGTTTGTTTCTGAAATGAGATATCAATTTGGCCCCTTTGTTGATAGATCATAGCTAGATAGGAAGAAGACCGACTATTCCCCGGAGACTAGACTTTGCCAATTAGCATTTCTTTTATTTTTAACATGCGACTAGTCGCATGTATAACTCGATGACGACCAGTTGGAGTTCGAACAAACTTTCCACGAACAATCGTTGCCACAAATGTGAATCGGACCAGTTCGAGTCCGATTAAATGCTTTTTATTTTTTTGGTGAATTATCTCGTGCCTCATTGTTAAGAAAATATTTCAAGTGATTTTATTTTGCATTGGCTTAAATGTCGGGCTATTTCTCATTTTGCTAATTGATTTTATTAATGAAACCTCAACTTTCTTCATGGTATCATAGTAGGTTATCCTGCGTGTAAAGCCTAACGGCCACACATGCTTTATGACTACTTTGTCTTATTTACGTGCTATGCTTGAAAAATTCCACATCGAAAAAAAGAGAGACTTGCATATGCTTATATATAATCTAAACTACTTTTCATATTACTAATTAATTTTATAGTAGAACCTTAACTTCCTTCATTTTTATTATATTAATTGATTACAATGGACAAATTATTCTCTACAATTACTCTTGTCGTTGTCTTTGATTTTTCATGCAAACTCATCGTCTATATCAAAGACATGTGGTTAGAATTTTCTTTGTGTACATGTTTCGTGGAAAGTTAGTTTTAAAGTATCGTTGCACTCAACTTCATACATTCTTTGAACAAGAAAACAAATTTCATACTTTGTCAATACATTGACTTTGCACTCAGCTACCAGAGCTATTGCTATCTTACTTATCTTACCAGTTCAAACCCCTTTGGATATTGGTAGTGAGAGTAATGCTAGACAGGTTAAATGTTTAAATTAAATTTGTGAATTAAATAAGTGTTATTGACTCATTAATAAAAAATAAACATGTTAATCAATACCTTAGGTAATAATCAAATCATCAACACTCACATCATTTAGTTACAAAAATTAGTTTAAAAATTTAGTCTCCCTAACATTATCCTTGATCATAAATGTAATTCCAAATGATCGTACTGATGAAATTGGGGTTCCACCGTAAAACCAATTGGCAATATAAGGAGTAGCCTAATACCATATAAGCACATGGCAAACTTGTCCCCTCACTGATGTGGGACAACTCTCAACACGTCCCCGCACGTGTGGTCGATTTTCAAGCCTAACACGTGGACAACACAACAGGGTGACGTGGAACGCGTGTGGCCGTTGGGCTTCACACGTGTGACAACCTGCTCTGATACCATGATGAAATAGGGGTTCCACCGTAAAACAAATTGACAATATAGGGAGTAGCCCAAGATCATATAAGCACATAACAAACTTGTCCTCTCACCGATGTGAGACAACTCTCAACACGTACGACTTAGATGGATTTTGAAATGTAGTTTTCCACCTTTATTTTTTTTTGCTTTTTAGCTAAAAGGATTCTTGAGACTGACATAACTCCTCATTTCGATATCTGACAATGAAAATTGATAGAACTTTCCTGAGTTTGTCTATCGTAAATCATTTTGATATTTCCGTGAAAAATTTATCAAATATCCTCATTAAGTTGTCACTTGAACGACTACGTGACCACCATTTTAACGGTATTTTTGATAGAACTTCCCTGAGTTTGTCTATCGTAAATCATTTTGATATTTCCGTGAAAAATTTATCAAATATCCTCGTTAAGTTGTCACTTGAACGACTACGTGACCACCATTTTAACGGTATTTTTGTTAAAACAACTCCTTCACTTAACAAAGACATCGTAGACTTTCCTTGTTTTTTTCCTAGCATTTTGGTGTTTTTCAACAATTTTTTGCAGATTTAGACCTTCTAAGTTTTGGTTTAGAGGGTTTAGGAATTAGGGTTTATGTCCTCCTCCATCTCTATTTCATGTATCTTCTGTTTTTCTTTCTTCTTTATTATGTGGGGTAAAATTAATGTCCCCTGATTAGAAACTTTTTTAAAAAAGAAAAAAAATTATTTCCTTGGCTCGTCATTAAATACGAAAAGTAAAAACAATGAAAATATAATTTTAATCAATAAGCTCGCAAAAGGTATGTTATATAACTCTTGAGTTTTGAAGAATCTTGTTAGCATTCGTTGAGAAATTTATGACCGTAAACTTGTTTCAGAGAATGTCGAAGGAAGCTGGGATCCTCCTCCGCAGACTGCCGTGGATTGAACACAAATTCACTCTTGGTCATGATACTGACAAGTAACCAAGAAATGTATGGTCACTTACTTTTGAATTTGATATTAATGGTGAAGAATATGGCCGTGCTTTACTATTTTAATTTCAACTTTTAATATCAAATTCAAGATTGCATATGACCATGAATCATTGGTTACCAAATGACTAAAAAAACGAGAATTTGCCATTGAACAAACACGGTAACTTGCACCGCAGATAGAATTTTTACATTTAATATGTATTATTTTTACACATACCTTACGTCTCTATATACATAAGTCAAAGCACTTTAGTCAAATCTTTGAAAGCAACAAATGTTTAATCTGAAATTAAAATCATATGTTAGGAATAACTATCCAAGGATTTATAATTCTTGACCAAATATTCTACTGACATTCTCAACTCTGAAATCTAAAACTAATTTCATTCAGCATATCAGACCGCATTTGTGTTTCTTTACACAGATATACATAAAACAAGATATCTTGTACGTGCACCTATATGAATTAACACCAGCACGCAACCCCACCTGCTCCCCGCTCCCTGCGCCCGCCGACCTTCATATCGTAACTTGAGGTTTTTTAACTAGTTCCAGTCTGCCACGGTCCTATGGAAGCTGGGATAGCTTGGACATCCTGCCGTGCAGCAATTGTTTGTAGGAAAAAAGACTAAGGTTATATAACTCCAAATGGTTTTAATCCCTGCCGCAACCACCTAATTTAGCATCCTCATCCTGCAACCACAAATGAATGGAAAGCTATGTTATAACTATGGAGTTTTTCGGAAACTTGTTAGCTTTCTTTGAGAAATTTCTGACCGTACTTTCAGAGAATGTCAAGGGAAGCTGCTCCTCTGCCGTCTCTCTTTGATCAGACCAGCCTGTGAAACCACTCTCAGTTTTTGAGTTTCGCCTACTAGATTCCTCAAGTAAGCTCTCATCGTGTATTTCTCGGTACAAGTGTTTCAATATGAAAAGGGCAGTATCATAATCCCTCCAATAGTTTCTGCACAACAAGACTCAGTTAAGTTTTCAAATGAAAATGAGGAACATTCTGGTTGCAGATAAAGGCAAGAAGAGCTGAATTAATATGGTCGTTAAACAATTGCAAGAAAAATCTCAACAACTAAATAAACAAATATGGCTTAGGCATACACGACAATTTGCATCAACAGTTTACAGTAGTAATAGTTCACTTGATAAACAAATGACGGATAACAATTCCAATTGCAAGTATGAGGAAACATTTGAAGTGAGTACGTACGTATGTGCTCCAATTGCAGAAAGATACGGATGTTCAAATGTCTTATCCTGCATGATCAACAAAAAATCTCACTGAGGAATCAAAGAAATGAGCTGGTACTAATGGCATAAGGTCAGTAGTTGTTACGTGTCTAACTGGGTAAAAGTAACAAGGCTATAAGGCAAGCAGTTGCAGGGCATATTTTTGAAAGGAAAATAAATGAGACTCAGGCATGCACAGGTACGAGTGTGCACAAGTGTGAATTCTTGTGTGTCTCTGTTTGTATGTCTACGTCTATGTCTATGTGGAGTGAATGAGATGGTGGGCATATCTACGCACTTGAAGCACATGATCAATCCGCCCTTCTTCACTTCCTGTTACTCTTTCCATCATAAGAGAACCATAGGATCTCTCTTCCATTTCTGGAGCTGTTTCTGCTCCTTCTACCATGTAACAAAATTAACAAAAATAAGAAATATGCAGGAGCTTTATGAAAGATGTGACGGAAAAGAAACTGTATTGAATTACGTTTTCATATTTAGGGCCTAGGGTCGTTTATACTTCCAAACCCCAGACTGTTCTTTCTTTTTTCTATATGAAAACAAGATCACTACAGAGGACCACTTTTGTTAAAAATTTGTTCTCAGATATCTGTATCATTAAGAAGAGGAGGATACAGAGTGAAGGATCAAAAGACAAAATCTACTACCTTCTAGGGTGTCTGCATTTCTTGACTGGCAAACTGTCAGCACTTTAATCTGTGTTCAAACATAAAACAAAATCTTGATATTAGAATAATTTCTAACATAATATAGGAACCAAAGCGTGGAGGGTTTCAAACCACCCATCCTTGCAGAGTCTCATATTACGATTTTTATTTTTTTTGTCGCAACTTATAAATAACCTATAAGTTGACACTCAACCTTGAAACTTAAAAAACTAATTTGGACAGAGAGAGGGGATTCACATATGCAAAGTTCAAAACCCTAGTTTACTTAAAGTGTATCTTAACATATATACAATTACTATAGACGCAGCTGATATACGCCTATAACAGATTAGAAAGTTATATCAACTTCTAGGAGTCTAACCACACCCACCTTTACGAAGTTTAGACGATCCATCATTGCTTGAGAACGAGCAGCTAAATCTTCAGTAAATTCCTGCATCACATAGCAGTGCTCGAGTGTAAGAGAGAGAGAGAGAGAGAGAGAGAGAGAGAGAACGCGTGCGTGCGTGTGAGTGTGGGTGGGGGAGGGGGGAAGAGATAGAGCTGAGGTAGGCAATCCACAATCATGTATGTTAAAAATGCTTTACCTGAAATCCAATATGCAACCTCTTTCCACCTTTGTGATAGGGTATGATAACAGGTCGCTTGCTGAGGTATTCTTTACACACAAGTGGTTCTATTCTGCATTTCAATATGAAAAAAGTTCTATCATGTGCTGTGCTCCTAGATCAACAAACAAGAGAACACTAACAGATAAAGCAATACGAGCGATAAACATAAAGTTGTATATATAAGAATTTCCAGATGATATCATTCAATATTTTGCACTTTCAGCAAACTAAGTGGAATCTATTCAACAAAAGGTATCATGTCATGCACTGTACGAACCACATCC